TTTGCATGCATACGGAATAGTGTATTTTCAGCATACTACCCATTTTTCCGAGGTCAGAATCACAGCAAAACGACCTGCAGCGACACCTGGTCCTCGAGCGTGACTTTGGTGCCACCGCGTAGCAATCCAAATTCGTTCTCCGACTAGCGTTGGGCGCGAAGCTTGCGCGCTGGCCAGAGGAGGCCGTGCGGACTCTGAAAGCGACTCTGAAAGCGACTATGGTCGGCACTGTGACCCGATGTGACCATTTCTCGGAGAATCCAGCGAACACTGGGGTCAGACCCACAGTCTCCCTCGTCTTTCACGCAGTTCTGCATCCAGTCTACTCAAACTTCGCAACATAGCTCTTCGGTATAGTATACAACGTACTACGAAATTTGAGCCTTATCAGTGGGATGTAGCGGGAGCTACTCGCGATTCCATATTTCTCCCGCGAACACTGGGGTCACGATAGTATACGTAGTGACTTCCCTCCCTCAGCCTGGCGCTGAGCGCTGAGATCTGAGAGCGCAGGAATCCCGCCTGCGATCGCCTACACACACAAACAACAAACGCCTGCGCACCCCCGGTCCGGATGTCCCGTGACTGGTGGTCCTCGAGTCCGTCACTCGGTTGTTCAAGAACACACTGGCACTTGGGGTTGACGCGTAACGTTGAATATTGGTATACTGTCGTCTTCTGTCTAATGTGTACACTGCTGGACTGCTCGCTATTCGTACAACAGGATCTACTCTGTACTTACTGTCCGAGCCATCACGGCGGCACCCGTGCAAACCGCGGTAGCTACTACTGAACTGATGCAACGAAGAGAATGGAAAGGGCGAGAGCGACGAGGGTCAACGAGTCCAAGTAGAGACTGCTCGGAAGTGTCCATTGTTACAAGGTCTACGGCCTGGCGTTCACAGCCGCTACTGTAAGAGACAGTCACTGACCGCCTGCATCGGCGGAGCTCTTCTGCTTCTCGCCAACGTTTGTCTCAAGGCCCAGCTCTCCAACACCGACTACACCTACACCCGTGCCGTGGAATGCGTCTCCGCCGTCACAGAAGAAACCAGTGTAGGGCGTCGCAGGGCTAAGCGTTGCCGGGGTGCGGGCCGAGTAGGTGAGTGCGGGTGATACGATAGGAGAACGATCGTCCTCATCGTCGGCATCTTGAGGGTTGCCCGGAGGACGAATGGCAACACCGCGACCGAAGAGGCCCGTCGCAGTGGCGCCGCTGGGTGTTTTGTGCAAGCGTGTAGCAGCTGCCGAGGACACGGCAGTAGGATTGGCAGTAGTCGCGGATTTCATGCCGATGCGAGAGACGGTGCTAGAGACGTTGATGTTGTTCTTGCTCGAGAAGAGAGTCTGGGTATCGGGTAGGGTACTTGCATTTGCGTTACTAGTGCTGATGTTGCGCGGCGTGGTGATATTGCTGACGGGAGCTAAGGGGCGGTGTTTGCTGCTCGTTACGTGGAAATTCGTGCCAGTGCGAAGAGAGTTGCGGTTTGAAGTGCTGCTGAGACTAATGTTGGAGTCGTATATGGGAATGCTAGTAGTGGTAGAGTGCGATCTGATGTCGAGATACTGAGATGGTAAGGTGGTGGCGCGGACATGCAGTCCTTGATTGTCAACATCTGGACGCGTTTGTGCCGCGAGAGTATGATTGCGTTGCCGCGTCTGTTGGGCTGAAAGCGCCATTTGTCTCTCCAAGTCATGGGCGAGCGAAGCGAAGTGCTCTCCCGTGGTCAGAACACTTTCGTTCTCTCCTCCAGGGAGCACCCGCTGGAGACCTGCAGTAGCGTGGAAGTCGTCCTCGGACATCTGGGGGGAGAAATCCAACAGACGCCGGGTAGTCTCTCGTCCAGCAGAGTTCGCACCGATACCAACGGTGGCATTGCTAGGTAGGCTCTGAAGGTGCGACTGTCCGTCACCATTGAGCGCAGGGATACCCACCGCTCGTTGTTGTCTGGCGTGGGCCTGCAGAATGAGCTGTTCTACGGGCGTATAGCCATTCTGCGCGACAGTTTGAAGTCCTTGCATGCTCATCAACAATTGGAGCTCGGCAGAGCTGTTGTCGAGTAGACCCGATGTGTTGCCCGCGAACTGCTGAGTGGTAGGAATACGCAAACCATGGGCCGAAACCTGAGGAGCTCGTGAGTTGAGGGAGTCGTAGGTAGAGACGTTGACGCCGAGTGAGGTCAGCTCCTGGGCAGTGATAGCCGCACGGAGGAGCGGATCCTGAACAGGAAGAGAGGGAACAGCAGTGATCGGAGAGATCTGCCCATTCAGTTGTCCGAACGCGAGTTGATCGAGAGCAAGTCCTAAGTTCTGATTCGGCAATGCGTTCAAACCATCATTGAGGGAAGGAGAACGGTCTCCAGCGTGGCACTGTGTCCCCTTGAGGTTGAGGAGTGCAGCACGCGCCATCGTCAGGCGAGCTGGAGATTGCTCGCCTTCGCGATTTTGACGTTCGGCTCGCTGCTTGTCACGCATGTGTTCAGCAAACATAACGCATACACTAAGCCAGCAACATACCCGCAACTCCCTCTGCTCCGCCGTATCAGCGAAGCGTACCGAGATCCTGCATCCAGCGTCGTTCCACCCCCTGACCAGTCTCCCGTGGAGGCGCTCAATAATGTCTTCCGCTGCAACCCTACTCTCCAATCTGTACAGACCGTCATAAATGCACACAATGTTGAGCGCTCAAGCACGACCCGACTTACCGAACAAATGCAATGATTCTGGGAGGACTACTGAGTCGGGTGTGGAAGAAACGAGAGCTCATGATACGGTATGGCGTGATGAGTGCTTTGAGGGTTTCTTCCGTAATACTGAGCGGTAATCCCTCCATGTACAGGTTGGTGGACGATGTGTCGCTGAGTTGTTCCATCTTCGCCTTGAACGAATCCGCAGGACCAGTATTCGAGGTAAGGGCAGAGGGCACCGAAGAATAGGTGGTCCCAGGTATCTTGTGGACTTGCTGAAAGACTGGCAATCAGTATGCGAGCTGAGAGAAAATGTACTGCGCTATACCTTCGAGAAAGAAGGATGTAAGTTGCGGTACTTTCGTAAGGACACGATGCATCTTTCTGCGGACTCCAGAGTCTCGAAACTACACAGTATGAGTCGACATCCGTGCATGCGTGTATCTGTGAGACACGTACAGAACGAACCCATACCCGCTGCGGAGAGAGGCCATGGTCAGCGATCATTATGGAGGATACGGATAGATTAGGGAATGATATAGATTGGGATGGTGAATATATGCGCGTGTAAATTGATAAAACGGGGCAATAGAAGCATTGGGGGATTAGTACTCACGAAGGCTTATCGCTCACATGCCGGGTAAATGTGCGTACACTCAAGACATTTCCAAAGGGGCGTGTCATAGCAAGTAGATCTTCCTCTGGGAAGTTCGGAGGCAGGCCATTGATGTACACGTTGGGAGGCCGCGAATCGGGTGAGGGAGAATCCGTCTCGCGCTCCTGATCGCCCTGCTGGGAATAAGCAGCAGCGGGGACGAACGGCGGAGGGAGGGATTCTGGAGCTAGCTTGCGTAACACAGCTTCTTGGGTCGGCGCTAATGTTACCATAGACGTTGAGTTCCGTATTCAAACATACCCAGCTTGATGAGATGGTGAACACGTACTGGGGCTAATCTGTTCGCGACTCTTGAGCAGAGCCGCGTCGTCATGTCCGCACTCGGTGGATATCACAGAGTCTTGCAGCATATCGGGACTTTCGAGCTCAGGAGCGAGACAATGAATGTCGATGGGAGTGTCTAGTAGACGCGATTGGAATTGCGGTGCGGACGAGGATAGTGCAACAGAAAGAGAAAGATCAGAAGAGATGTCAGGATTTGAACAGGAGGGCGAAGCGAGAACAGTGGGAGCCGCTGCGCGGGACGATGAGTCTGGCGGGGTCGGTGGTGCGTGTTTAGGATTACTAGGGACTGTGGTCGGAGTTGCTGGCGGGTCGCGCGAAGGAGTGCGAGGGAAGACTGAAGAGAGCGAAGGAGTGCGAGAAGGAGAAAGCTGTAGCTGGGCAGGAGAGCTAGACATTGCGTAGGAAAGCGTTGAGCAGGGATGGAGGCGAGAACTGCAACGATGGGCTTTGAAGGACAGGTAGCGGGATAACGGGAAGTAGTATGCAGCGATTAGGTGTACTTGGACGGATGTGATGGCGCCGTCTGGGGCGAATAATAGGGCAAATACGCGATAAAGTTGTCTTCTGCGAGATTAGAGCTGGGGAAGTAGAAGATGGGGGCGAAGAGGCGAAGGCGGGCGGGATGCCGGGGGCGGCGGTATTTATACTGCGGGCGGGCATGGCGGAGCACGCCGTCCATCAAACCGTGAGCTTCTCTTCGACAGCAGCAGCACATCCCATGCGACCACCCTCGTCCGGATCGGGAAGAGGCATGGCGTGTCGTCCTCGTTCAGGACACTCCAGACGCGCGCCCGCGACCCCAGGCGATCGTCCCACCACAGGCCGTGTCTTGATGTCCTATATCGAGCCCGTCTTCGCTGCTCGCGCCGCCTCTGTCGCCCTCGCGTGGCCCCGGACAACCACCAGGGAGCCACGTCCCACGTCCTCTTGCACGGTCCACTCCAAACGCGTCACCATCGCTCTTCCTCCGGCCAAATGAAAGTCGTGCGCCATATACGGCAGTCTTCCCCACAAACGCCTGCCAACTGTCAGTGTCGGCGCTCATGGTGCGTTGCAACTAACCCACCGCTCTAGGCATCCGCCGGCTGGTCCGTGTTGTTGCACTCCAGTCTCCCGCATAGACTTTGTGCGTCGTCAGTGTTGTACGACATCCAAGCGGGAGACCTAGCTCTTCCGAACCTCTGCGGAAACCCGCCGCTTTCTCTACATCGGCTGCATCTGTGAAGCGTCTGCCACGTTTGCCACTGCCACTGAACCACTGGAACCGAGTAATAGTATGCGTCACGGTCAGTGGCACATTCACACGTTTGCAGCATGGCCTCATATTAGTTTCTGCGGGTACCTGGAGTAATGCCCGCCTAGCTCAATCGGCCAGAGCGTCAGACTTTTACGGCTTGGTGTCGCAATCTGAAGGCTGCGAGTTCGACCCTCGCGGTGGGCTATACTCCTCTTCAGGTCCTCCTTTTTCATGCTCGAGCAGAATCCTTGTGAGACGTAGCCGAGTAACAATGTCGTGTAATACTACTAGTGCAGGAGTCACTTAAACTTTGCGTCTATCCCGGATACCGCCCATCTGTTTTTTTTTGCGACGCTCACCAAGTATTGTCTCATTTGTCAATGAGACAGGTTGTCTGCCGCCAAGTATCTGTGATCCCTGCAAGTCGCGATACATTCCTTCAAGGCCGTTCGGCACTACTCACTACCGCACCGCTACTCCATCGTACCGCTGCTATACATCTCGCCAGGCTGTCCCGCCTCCGTCTTAATCTCTCTCGGGATCTCACCGGACCCGTAGTGGTCCGCGCCCTGCATGTGTCGTTTGCGATGTGACTGGCCGTCATGGTGCATCTCCGCGCTGCTCATGCCCGACCCGGGGTGGCCCAAGCCACGGTGCACGTCTGCCGACGTTGCGCCCGTGAGGGTGTCGCCGGCAGAGGGCGGGGTCGCGTACGGGTCCTTATCGATGACCGTGCGTGAGTCGGGCGCCGGGGGAAGCGGGTGGGTGTTATCGGTAACTTTCTGGAGAGGGGATGGCTGACGGCTTACAGCCTCGCGCTGGCTGAGGATATCTGAAGGAAGGGCTGCAGAGAGGATCAGCAGTGCATCATTGAGACGACGTTGGGCATGAGGTACTTACGTCCGGAAGTGCCGCTGCGCGTGCCCGGTGCGACGCCTCCGGAAGGAGGTGCATCGCGGCCTGTCGAAGGAGGCAGATGTTCCTCTGCCCGATCAGCATGACGCTTCTGATCTAAATAGATGTTACCGCTTAAAGACGCACAATAGGGAGGTTGACATAGAACCTACCTCTGGGCAAGTCGACAGCAATAAAATGGTGTCCAGTGGTGGCGTTCTCAGCACCAGGAATACGTCCCTTGCTTGCGTCGCCGCCTACAAAGTCGTTGTGGCGACCAGAAGTCAAAGAGTCGGACATGTTGCTCAGGAGAATTGGGTGAGTCGCGAGGCAAGTCTGAATCGTACAGAGGACGTCGATTGTGAGGGACGTCGCCCTAGGGTCTATATACCGTGGCCTTGTGGGACAGTTGCATCATACCCTCGACGTTGGGCACGTGCTACGTCATAGTTGGATACTCCCCCAAAAATGGCAGCTTGTGAGGAAGTGCGCTCCCTTGGTAGTGGGATTGCCCTGAAACTTTAGCCTGCATATGCCACTTACCTGGTCAATGACACAGCGGGCCCCACAAGGACACAGCCAGAGTCCGGAATGTCAACTCCAATTACATGCTCCCGATGTGTAGCTGGTAAGTTCAGGTATCGCCCGCTCAGGTGGTCTACTCGACGGCAATCACGGGGGGTGTCTTCACTTTTCGGACCACCCTTCGTGTTGAGCCATCATCGTCTCTAACCCAATCGCGGACGAGGATATAACCGCTTCTCCGTGGCAGCCATACGCACCACACGTACCAATACGCGACCCCGCCGAAGGAGATCAGCCACGCGACGAGGACATGGATCTGGCATTTCGGAGTCGTGAGTGACGAAACGACAGGATATCGCGGGAAGCTCACCCAATACGGCAGATTGTCGTACACCTTGTAACCCTGGGCGGGTGGCATGAGGGGGACACCGACAAGGAATATGTTGGACAGGAAGAAGAAGAGTACGACTGGGGTCCACGCCCGGAAGGGAGGGAGCCAGTCGTACGATGCTCGTAACGCTTTGAGCTTCTTCGGTAGCACACTATCTGGTGCGTGTATGAAGAGGAGCCCTCCGGAGACAAACATGTTGATCAAAGCTAGCGGATACGACGACACTAACGGTGCGACATAAGTTGCAGGCCACCGACGTTTTGACTCAGCAATGCAATACGCACCACTGAGCATGAATAAGTACGCATCTCCTTGGGGCACGAGTAGCACAAGGCCGCTGGAAACGAGCCACTGTTCAAAAAGTCCGGCGAATGGGGCATTGAACGGCTTGCTGCTCGCAAACAACGCAGAGAAGGGCAATACACCTTCGCGTCCAAGTTCCTGAACAACTGGACGACACGTTGTGAACACGCAGTCACGTATTGACAAGAACAATCTCACCGCGTCCATGGGTGAACAACACGGCAAGGATGTTCCCTAGTGTCGAAAGTGCGATGACCACGCTGACAATCTATATTCACCACATGAGCATCTCGGTGGCGACACCGCGCAACCACGAAATCATACCCGTTCTGCATTCACGCCCCATAGCCGTCCGAAGTACAGAGCAGCCACAATCCGGCCGCTCCCGAGTATCTCGTCCTTATCCACAACAGCGTAATAAGCAACGTTCACCAGCATGTAGATCAGGGTGACGGATATCATTGCGAGGGGGGCCGCACGTTTGATGGTTCGTACCGGATCGCGAACCTCGGCCAGAGCATAGTTCGCGTTGGAGTAGCCAATGAAGCACCTGCCATGTTCACCGGATTACCACCAACCAACCCAAACATACGAAGCGAGACGATTTACCAGATCACGTTGAAGAGCCCTGTGACGAACGCGTTTGCGCCGCCCTTCAAGCTCCCGTCCCATAACGTATCCCATTCGAAGTTCTTCGGAGGCTGGGATGCTGTGTCAGCTGCAATACACTGTGCACACAGCCGCTGAACTGCAACTTGAACTCACGTTCTCCAGTTTGAAGCCAGGCACCCCAAAGAGTGACGCAAGTCCACTGAGGGCGATGCCAATGAGGATGGATAGCTTGAACATCCCCAGCGCGTTCTGCAGGCGCAGACCGGCCTTGAGCGCCGTACCGTGCAAGAGAAGGGCAAATGTTATGCACGCAACTCCGGCTAGACGCGCTGCTGTCGGCGATGGAGTCTTCTCAGGCTGGAATGCATGGAGGGCGTCTGGTATGGTGGTTTCAGTAAGCGGATTACAAGGAACTTGTCAAATACATGATCACTTACACTCCCCAAACACTGAGCATGAAGCGGCCTGCCATCCCTGCCGGCAACCGCCAGGACTTGAGATGAAGATCGTGACACCTGCTCAAAGAAGCCAGAGCAGACGTACCGTCAAGATGGCATACATCGCATACACGCAGGTCACCAATAATCTCGGTCGTCGGTAGATGAACTCCAAGTAGTTCTTCTCCCCGCCGTTCCTAGGCAATCCCTGAGCACCGAAGTACCATGATTGGATCAGTGCTGACAAAGAGCACACCGGGTATCATTCAACTTACTGTGCCAAGCTCCATATAAACAGCTGTGCCGCAAAGAGCGACAGCCGCCCCAAGGAGCCACATCACGAGCGAGAGCCCAACACTACCAGAAGAACGCAGTATCACACTGGGGGTGGCGAAGATCCTTATGCAAAAGCATGATTAACCAGCGCGTCCCGAAGACTTTGGGAAAGGTAAGATGTACCCAGTCCCGATGACCCTATTGAAGATAAGAGACGACGTGCTCGTCAAGCCTGTATCATATTAGTATGAGCGTGATGAACGTCGGGATGAAAATATGAGAGTGCCTGACCAAGTTGACGTTTGTGTGCGGGCACATCCTCGGCTACGCACAGATCATAGAAACGTTCCAAAGTCAGTACAAACGACATAGCGAGGTTTGCAACCCTGAGGGCGAACTCACGATTAGCAACGATTTCACCATTACCTTCGATGACGGCCACGGCTTGCACGTCTACTGACGCATAGTTCTTGACTGCGTCGGACGGCGCATCATCACTATCGGTGTCCGGGCCCAACAATGGTTGTTGTTCTGGTGTTCGAGCCTGAGAGGAGCCGGCGACAAGGGAGCGCCGGGACATGTCGAGAAGTGAAGCTCAGAACAGCTGCCGAGCGTAAGACTAGGAAGAAAGAAACCCAGTGCCCGAATTGATCAATCGCGGTACTAGTAGCGGCGGTGAATCCAGTCCAAATCCAAGTATGTAGTCGACGTCAGGAACCAAGAGTGCATTCCAAGTGGGCGACGCGTGCAACAACGTTGCACATGCATACTTCGAGGCTGATAACAGAGACGCCGACACGGAATACCACGATAATGGGGTTGTGAGAGTGTGGCGGCGTGCGACAACTTTGCAATCTCGCGCAAGGGTGGCGACGCAGTGTAGTCACGGGCGCCCCCATAACCTCGAGCCGCTGCTGGACCCCCCCCCCCATAAAAGGCAAGTTAGATAGCAAGCTCTGCAAACTGTACGAGTCTAGGAGAGGAGCCCAGAAGAGACAACACGTTGACGACAAATAATTCTGAGGCAAGATGCACACGATAAACACTTCACAGGGCAGGAGCTGGTGTCGGCTAAGTTCCTCGCGCAGACCTACTGGAACTCTCTGCTGCGCCTCCTTCTACTGATTCTGATACAGGATCAGGTCGCAATAGAGACGAACTCAAGAAGTTAGGAATCGAGCCACAGTCTGCCACACTTATTAGTGAGTTCGGCGGCCAGGCCCGGACGTCTGTCGATACCTCGCGCGCGCGATTCACGCCGCCCTCAGCAGACCACCGGAGAAATAGCAAACATGCCGCCCAAGCCACAATGGGACGGGCGTGACATAGCCTCGCTGTATAGCAACGATCGATAGCAGCGCGATGACGTTGATACTCGTGCATTGCGTAGGTATGAGAATACAAGTTGGTTTTCTTCTGCTTCTGTGCTTCTAGCCTCTCCGCACCGAGAACCCGTCCGATTTCTCGAACCATACAATGAGGCGACGAGAACTAGAGGGTTCCACTGTTCGCGATGACGATGCGAGCCTTGGGGGTACCGGATGCAGAGCCAAGCGACTCGACCTTCTTCACGATGTCAAGGCCCTCGACGACCTCACCTGCAAGCGAGTGAGCGACGGATACTACCACTACCTAAACAAATTGCGTACCGAAGACGACGTGAGCACCGTCCAACCAAGAGGTAACGACCGTGGTAATGAAGAATTGAGATCCGTTCGTGTTTTTGCCAGCGTTCGCCATGGACAGGATTCCAGGCTTGGTGTGCT